TATTTATTATTTCATTTTATTTTTTGCCACTTAGGTAGAAAGCAGAACTGAATATCTGAATATTAGTAAGTGTGCGTATATTTACGCACACTTTTCACCTGCCGTGAGAATGTGCGGCAGCCAAGCAAAGTTTTTCAGTCGACAGTTTTAACCCACAAAGTCACGAATCTGACCTGAATCCACAGAAATATGACTTTGTTGTGTTTTCTGGATGTCTGAACACGGTGTTAGATTTTTATTTTAGTTTGAGTTTTTATTGTTTAAACTCGAACGATCATGAAACTGAACCCCGGGACTGAAAATCATTTAACCTCATACAAGGAAATCAGATCAGCCTAAAAATGATCAAAATAACCTCCAGTCTACTGTAAACTGTTTTTATATTTGTGTCACATAGATGAAAACCTTTTGGGTCCCGGGCCGGAAAAACCCGACACATTATGTGCGGCATAAAATAAATAAATGAAATTAAAAAAGGCTGAAGCGGGGGAGCAAAATCGGATGCAAATGGTGGCTCACTGTACGGTAAGAATAATTATTTTTTTCTGTTTGTAGCCTTCTGGCTGATGCTGAGTGTTGGGCTGTGGCCGTAGCGCAGCAGGCTCGCGCTTTGGGTACTGTAGCTATTCGTACCAGGTGCGCAACCTCGCCAGCTGGGAAGGTGTTCATATGTGTCAACCCCTTTGGACGTTTACCTGTCTAATGAGCCTCAAAAATCTATATTTTTTGCTAAAAATCCGTAGGCTACCACTTGTACCCACGCGTGTGGGGGTGGGGGTCTGTGGAGATGACAGCGCCTGCTGTAARGCAGGAGGAAAGGGGAGAGGAAAAAGTGAATAACGGTATGTTTTTTGTTTTGTTTTGTTTTTTAACGTCCGTTCAACGCCGTGTTCAACTAAATAGACAACAYCTAACCAGGCTTTAATATCACATTTGGGAGATGTCTGTAAATTTCAGGAAAATCTCAGGCTTTGGTTATCCCGTACAAATGCGCCACATAAAACAATAAAACACCCCACTACTTATTTAGACAGTTTTCTCACTCATTCTCCATTTAATGTATAACTTTCCTGCATCGAAAAATCATTTCTGATTCCACAGAGAGGAATCGGAGGAGAATCTCACACGCTGGATACATTTATATCTATTTTACATATTTAAATGGAGGCGTGTCAGGGGAGGTGTCTCACGTGCGCTCAGTTCCACGTTCGTTGGGATTTATAAAGGAAAGCTGCGCAGAAACATGCGTACGCATGGTTTCATACATCTGAATATTTTGGTGCGGCACACATTTCTAAATTTGTCCGTACGTCAACTWTTAGTGTGAAAGCTGCGCAATCCTTTATGCCTGAGGCCCCTGGAGTGCTACAGAAATACTTTTGTAACCTTGGTCAGATCTGTGCCTTGCCACAACTCTGTCTCTGAGCTCCTTGAGAAATTCTTTTGACTTCATGAATCTCTTTTGCACTGACATACGGTGTGAGGTCTTTTATAGACATGTGTGTGCCTTTCCTAATCAAGTCCAACCAGTTTWATTAAACACAGCTGGACTACAATGAAGGAGCAGAACCATCTCAAGGATGATCAGAAATCAATGGACAGCATGTGAGTTAAGTCACAGCAAAAAATC